GGCTAACTTTTAGATGGTGACTAAAGATGGCAGGGTTGTTTGTCATGTAGGATTAACTGGACTCAAATGCTCAACATACCTTGGGATGAATTCAGGATGGAAGACAATGCCCAGAGTTCTGATAAGAATAAGAGGCTTTTAATATACTTGTGCTTAGGCACTAAAGTCAGGCTAGGACTCCAACTGTGGTCACTAAATAGAGGGCTATCTGAGACAACATTGACTCCATCATCCCCATTCTGTCTCTGGGAAGAAAAACAGGGAATATTGTTACAAGGCTCAAAGTAAACTTTCAAGTTCAGCTGTAAACAATTAAGCACTAAGCTATTAAAGGAGAAAAATTTAAACCTAGGATTTTTGCTTTGCATTGATTTCATTTCCTGTGACCTTATAATCTAGTTTACATTTACTTGTATTTATGATGATTCAAAAAGAAAGTTTAAATTTGGTTAGGAAAAGCAATAAATAAGAGGAAGCGTGATTAAAGGTCCTCACTGGTGTGGTTTACTAATTTATTTTTCTACCATCACCATCTAGTGGAGAAAACCTTGAACTTCAGACTGAAGACTGGGGTTCAGGAATGAAAAGGAAAAAACAATGGAGGGCCTATTAAATAGCAGGCACTAAACAAAATACTTACACATTTTCAGTCCATCTAATTTTCACAACATACTGTGAGACAGGCATTATTACTCCTCTTTCAGATTTGGAAACTGAGCCTGACAAGTTAAGTATCTTTCCCAAGGTTAGATTGTGGCCACCTTAAATCCAGATCCTTGAAGTCAAGTCTAGTACCAGTTTTACCTCAGAGTATATCCAAATAGATTGATTCTACTCATGTATGAGGCTTTGGAAGCAAATTATACACACATATATGGAGAATTGTCTTTTTATTTTTATATACGAGCAAAGCACATGTCTAAAAAGAATAGAATGAGGCTGCAGGCAGAGTATATAATGAGTATGTTGAGATATGTACTTTACAGTTAATATCAACCCAGCACCACAGAACGAAAAGAAAAGAAAAGAAAGAGAGGGAGGGAAGGAGGAAGAGAAATAGAATTGTAATACACAAATGTTTTAATATTTTAATTTTTAATCCAAATTGTATAATGAATATTTTTCAATGACAATAAATACTTTTGAAGACATACTATGGAACAATAAGATATAGAATTATACCTATATGTAAGTTCACAGCATAAACTTTACATATATTTAGAGACTGGGGAAAGGTGCTAAAATACTAACTAGGATTTTCCATGAGCAGATTTTCCTTAAGTATGTGTTATTTTTGAAGAAAAAGTGTCAGGCCTTATATCAATAAAAGAAAAGATGTTTAGGAAACTTCACAGTTGTTTAATTTTTTTGTCATTATTTTAAAATATGTTGAATAAATTAAAGGTGACTACTTGTCCATATACTTCTTAAAATGTTTAAAATCAGTGCACATTTAATAGCACTTAAAAAAAAAACTTGTTTGAAGACAGCCCTAGAAACTATTTTTAAAGTAGTACTTGCTTCTTTGCTGTTCCTGTGGTAGTCACTTTGGAGGACAAATAAAAGTTCATGATCCTCTATTTTTTGCACAGTTTCAAATTATATTATGGTCATAGAAATAATGATTCTTTTCTTAACCCACATTTCTTTATCTTTTATATTAATTTTATTTTTGAGCCTAACATTTCTAGTCAGAAAATCTCTTAACCAACAAAAAATCGAATTTCACTCAGATTTTGTACAGGAGGTTGGAATACATACTTCAGTTAATATCAACTGGGAGGAAAAAAAAGGTATCCTGTGCCTTTTCATATCATACAGTACTAATTCAATTACAATGAGGAAGAGATAAATAGCATGTCCCAAATACATTTCTTTGGTATATTTTGAGTTGAATATTTCAGAGAAAACTCTGCAGACACAAGATGGCTGTGACAATCTGTCCTTTTGTAAAAAGAAGTCTATATCTATCCACATTAATAAAAGATGCAGGCACATGCATTTTGACTTGGTAACCCTATCCTTTGTGCCTAGGAAAGATCTAGAATGGCTTTAGGCCTGAGGCTAAGCAACTCCATTTTAAAAACTACAATTTGAAACCTGCAGTCTCAGCAGGCACACCCACAGAGCCCCCCAGTATGGCCTCAAACAAATTACTTCCACTCACTCTGATAAAGAGAGTGAAGCCCCTGGCAGACTGTCCTCACCTAATAAGAGGGAAAGGCAAGAAGATCAGGGTGGAGACCACAGACCAGATGTTTCTGACCCCAGGGTAAATGATGTCCTGGAGAATTCCAGTGGTAGCTGATAAGGATTCAAAGGGGGGTCGAACCCCCCAAAATTTAGTATAAATAATAGAGCTGATGAACAGAAATTCAGCCAGCAGAAACAAGGATGTACTCGAGCTGGAAAGCCTGATGAGGACCTGACATCCCATCACTTGTCATCATTCTTGAGCCTCTGCTCTCAAACTCTATTGCCTCCTCTGGACTTTGGTGAGAGCCGCAACCCCTCCTTACGACCCCCTCCTCAACTGATGGTCCACTCCATGCCAGAAAAAGCCTTTTTGGTTCCAGACATGATCACTTCTTTCTGAGTGAGTGTGCATCTGCAGGACGTAAAGCCTAAGGCTTGAGACTTTTGTACTTCGAATGCTGAGGGAATGTCTGTCACTAGCCTGTCATGATTGTGTTTTGCAGTGCTTAGAATTAATTTAGAATTGTTTGCTGTGAACTATGTCTATTGCAGTGCCTAGCATTAAGGATTGTCGTTTTCTTGATTAAGAACCCATAGAGTGAAATTGCATTAAGTTGAGTGAATAAAGCATTGAAAAGGGCAGAAACATGTGGATATTCTTTATTTCTTCCCTTGACTGCATATCACAATTTTGCCCCCTCGAGACACACCTGGTACAGACAGAGATGAGCACAGGCACCTGTTACCTGTAAGTTTTCATCTACTTAAACAAGACAACCCTGGCTTACTGGACATGTCTTCCCAACCTTCCAGAAACTGTACCTGCAAAGCCCAAGCCCCTATCTATCCCTTTAAACTCTATGTAAGACTGGACCATCTCGGAGTCCCATATTTTAGGCATGTAATAGAATCTGTATGCTTCTCTTTCTGTTAGCTATTGTCAGTTTATATCATAAATTTATCATTTTCAGAGAGAAAACAGTAGATTTAAAACCTCCCTATGATAACTTTCAAGGAGAGGTTCTTATGTGGTAAATGACTTTTGTCAAATTTCAGAAAAGTTTTCATTTTCCCTCACTTCATTTACTTTTTTTTTCTTTTTTTTCTAGTTGCAGATGGACACAACACTTTTATTTTGTATATTTATTTACATGGTGCTGAGGATTGAACCCAGTGCCTCACACCTGCTAGGTGAGTGCTCTACCACTGAGCCACAGCCCCTCATTTACTTTTTTCTGATTACCAAAAATGCATGTTTAAGCTGTGCATGGTGGCATGTCTGAAATCTCAGCAACTCAAGAGATGGAGGCAGGAGGATAAGAAGTTCAAGGTCAGCATCAGCAATTCAGCAAGACTCTCAGTAACTTAGCAAGAACCTAACTAGAAATATAAACAAACAAACCTGGGGATGTGACTCAATAAAGTACCTCTAGTTTCAACCCCTAGTATTTCCCCCACCAAAATGCATGTTCAAGATACATGTTTAAGATATATTTTTTAACGCATATTAAGATACATTTTTTTCTTTAGTCAAGGAGACTGAGGAAAGAGGACTGCAAGTTTAAGGCAAATCTAAGCAACATAGCCTGACACCCCACCCAAGAAAGATATTTTTTTCAGAAGGGTAGGTTTACAGAAAAACAATTCAAAATCACAGGAAATTGTAGTACTTTGAAAGATGTAGAATACTGCAACTTACATTTTAATCAGCTTTTTATTTTTTATGTGTGCATACACTGTAATTTTAAAAAGCTCTTCTATTACCTTTGCAGTCGCTGTGACCAAAATACCTGACAAGAACAATTTAGAAGGTTTATTTGGGACTTAAAATGCCTGGTCAGCTGACTCCATTGCTTTCGGCCAGTGGTGAGGCAGAACATCATGATGCAAGGGCTTGGCAGTGGAAAGCTGCCCAGCTCAGGGCAGCCTTGGGGGGGGGGCGGGGTATGTCACGGAACCAGCCAGGGAGGAACAGCCTTAATCATTGCCTAAAAGCCCACCTCCTGTATCTTGCTGCTTTGGGGATCACACATTTCAGATACTGCACATTCCAGATCCAAGCAGTCACACCAGTCATTACTTTGTTGTAGTGGGAGTTAGAATGCTCGAGTTAGTTTCCAACTTGCAATTAAATTGCAAATTTGTTGCTAAAAAACTAACAAATCTAATAGGGTAGGGAAGCACCTTTATTTGCATTTCTTTGACTCCTACTGGGGTGAACTTTTTAAAATCACCCGTGCATATAAGTTTTTTTCTGCTGTTCAGTTTCTTTCTCCAGTTTTCTATGGGCAATATTTGGGTCCCTCCCCCCCCCCGCCCCATTTCCGGTTCTCTACAAACAACTTCCGTAACCTCCCACGGACAGGCTCCGCTTCCGAAGCATAAAAAGCCTGCAATGCGCCACCCCCATGACCCCAGACACTAATCTACTTCAGAATGCCCCCGGGCTTCCCGCGCCTCAAAGGGCCAAAGGAACGCCGCTTCCGCCACAGCGCAGTCTTGCGCAGGCGCACCACAACAGCCCTAGAGACACCCCTCACAAAGGCGGTTCGCGGAGCCGGAAGTAAACGAGCAGCGGCTGGGGCTAACGGTAGAGGACTACATTTCCCAACGTGCTGCGCGAGGTATAGCCTGCATCTGGGTAAGCAGCCCTGGACTACATTTCCCGAAGGGCCACGCGAGGCGATGTCCCCGGCGGGACAAACGGTCGTGGACTACACATCCCGACGCGCCGCGAGAGGCGTTACCAGCGGCCGGCCAAGGGCGGGCCGATGCGGGAGCTCCGGACGTGAGGCATGAGCGGCGCCCTCCCTCGGCCCGTGCGCGTTCTGCCGCCTCCCCGATCGAGGGTCGCGCGGCACGGGGCCTAGCGGCGGGCATCTGAGGCCTCGGCGTTCTCAGGGGCAGGTGCGGCCGCGCCGGGCGCCGGGGAGGGCGACGGCCGCCATGGAGGTGAGCGGGCCGGAAGACGACCCCTTTCTATCGCAGCTGCACCAGGTGCAGTGCCCCGTGTGCCAGCAGATGATGCCCGCCGCGCACATCAACTCACACCTGGACCGCTGCCTGCTGCTCCACCCCGCGGGGCACGCGGAGCCTGCGGCCGGGCCGCACCGCGCCGGGGAGCGGGCCAAAGGGCCCTCGCCACCTGGCGCCAAGCGGCGGCGGCTGTCGGAGAGCTCGGCGCTGAAGCAACCGGCCACCCCGACGGCGGCAGAGAGCAGCGAGGGCGAGGGCGAGGAGGGCGACGACGGTGGTGAGACCGAGAGCCGGGAGAGCTACGATGCGCCGCCCACGCCCAGTGGCGCCCGCCTGATCCCCGACTTCCCGGTGGCCCGTTCCAGCAGCCCCGCGAGGAAGGGGGCGGGCAAGAGGCCGGCTGCCGCGGCCGCAGCGGCGGGGAGCGCGTCTCCGCGCAGCTGGGACGAAGCGGAGGCGCAGGAGGAGGAAGAGGCGGGGGGCGACGGCGATGGCGACGCGGACGCGGACGGCGAGGACGACCCGGGGCACTGGGACGCGGACGCCGCAGACGCCGCCTTCGGGGCCAGCGGCGGGGGCCGCCCGCATTCGCGGGCGCTGGCGGCGGAGGAAATCCGGCAGATGCTGGAGGGCAAGCCGCTGGCGGACAAGATGCGACCTGACGCGCTGCAGGACTACATCGGGCAGAGCCGGGCGGTGGGGCAGGAGACCCTGCTGCGCTCGCTCCTGGAGACCAACGAAATCCCCTCGCTCATCCTGTGGGGACCGCCGGGCTGCGGCAAGGTGAGTGCCGTCCTGGCCGCGCGCCCGGCGCGTGGATGGCGCTAACGGTCAGCGGGCTGTGGGTTATGTCCTCCAGGAACTCGCCCGGCTCGGGGATGGCGTGGCCTAGGGGCCTCAGGTGCTGTCTGAGTTAGGGCACTGCTAGGTCCACAAGTGGCGTCTATGATGGGCGTGAAAAAGTAACACGCACCAGATTCTTAAAGACACATTTGCTGGACGTTTTCAGAAGGAAGATGTCTACGAATTTCTAGGTTCACAGCAAGAGTGGGACTCGGATTGGAGTTCTCTTCATGTTGCATCAGCTCCCCTGCCTCCTGATTTTTAGTGACCCAATTCTTTAGGAAACAGCATGCAACAAAAATTGTGAAGGGACATTTCTATATTACACTTGTATGTATATGGGTTCGGCTCTGAAAAAGTAATTAAATTTTTAAATTTCTGTTGTGCTTCCTTTCCCTTCCACTAGTTGTTGGTTTGACAGTGATTTTCAGAGCAAATATGAAAAACTTTCTTCTCTCTGCATATCATTTTCACCAAGAATTTCCATAACTATGCTTATAATGCTTTGCTTATATTGCTTTGCTTATACTGTTTAAGAGAAAAAGCATCAGTGCCTTTGGTGTTCGATTCCATGTACCTTCATTAGGGATAAGCAGTAGTGCAGAGGAGGGCGCAGGAGGAGGAAGAGGCGGGAGGGGGCGAGGGCGATGGATATTGTGGGTCTAGAGAACACGTCATTGGAAGAACATTTGAGAAAAAAGTTATGAATGCGGTAGTCCTGGTAAAAGAGAAGCTAAGAGGTGCTTGAGGATAATGAGTACCAGTGAATGACAGGTAGAATTTGGGAATCAGAAGAGGTCTCCTAGTTTTGAGGTTCAGACGCCTTCTTATGCAGGATATTCCTGATTTTTCTTTCAAGCTTCATCTCACACAACCACACCTGTCATTACTCCAGTTCCTGGAATGCAACTTGCTCTTTTTGTGTCTTATTTGTATCATGCTTTCCCTTTGGCCAGGCAAATGTATTTCAAATAACATTGTTTTTTGGGCCTTGGCATGTAAGCATATGCTCTATTACTGACCTACAGTACCAGCCTCCAGATACATTTTATGATGATGGTAGAATCGTTGATAAATCTCCCCATTTAGTTGTTAGACCACTTAGAGGGTAGAGCAGTAACATTTTTAGTAATTGTTAAATTTTTACATCAGATCATGAGAAGGGATTATCAGTAATTAAAGGTCCCAGACAGCAAGAAAAAGGTCTTCAAGGAGATGAGTGAGTCATAGAAGATTTTAGTGCAAGAGATTTACTGGGCCAGGCTGCTCAGTAAGGTAATTGGTGATCAACTCCAAGCCTATGTGACATAAGAGCTTGATTCCAAGATGCAGGTTGGCTGGAATTTGGTAAAGAAGCCCACAGTGTCTAATGTGCAGTACAACTTTCAGAAAATAAATGCCACTTTTCCAGTCAGGAGCAAATTTGTCCCTTTAATTAAACACTCTTCTCTTTTTCTTTATTCCCATTCTTAGTACTAAAGTGCTAACAACAACAATACTTATAATAGCATATACATATTTATTGAGCACCCAGTAAGTGCCAGATACTAAATGAACAACACTTTACTTGGAGCTTTCCTTTGCTTTCTGGTAAGTGCTAACTGTATCAATGCTGTTGTTACTGTCCAGAGTAGACATTCAGAAATGGTATGCATTCACCTCAGATACTAAGTGTTTTGTCAGTGGTCTCTCAACTCAACGACTCTTTCACTTTGCTTTTCTCAACCACTTCATTGAGCTACCACTAGTTGTAGTTCTGGGATCAGTTCTATACCTAGTTCTTCAGCTGTAATACTTTTGACTGGAGGAGGGAGAATTTTCTCTTTCCTTTGGTAAGGGGTCACAGCTGTCACCCAGGCTCTTCTAAATCTAGACAGCTGCTCTTTACTCAGATTCCAAAGATCTTAAGAGTCCCCAAAACAGGGATCAAAAGGGGCAAGGTACAAAGAAAAAAAGGTCAGGATTAGCCTAAGTTTTAGCTACTTTCCTGTTTTATTTGAATGTTGGTTTATTTATTTATTTATTTTTAATTTAAGACTTGGCTCTGTTTTTTCAAATGGTGTCTGTGTCTTTGAGCATTCTTAAGAGTTCAACTTGCTTGGTAATGCTCATGCTGCTTGTAGTACCCATGAGTGCTGTCCTCTCTGATTAGCTTTTCAAACTGTGTGTATTGTCTTTTCTAGACCACCCTGGCTCATATCATAGCCAACAACAGCAAGAAACATAGCATAAGGTTTGTGACATTGTCTGCAACAAATGCCAAGACAAATGATGTTCGAGATGTCATTAAACAAGCTCAAAATGAAAAGAGCTTTTTCAAAAGGAAAACCATCCTTTTTATTGATGAGATTCATCGGTTCAATAAATCTCAGCAGGTATATTAATTTCTTTTCTCTTTTGGTCACTGTGTACATCAAGTAAAATAAAAAGTATCAGATCACTTTTGAAAGTATAAAATACTATACAAATGCTAGGGAATGTTACCATTATTAACTGTCTATGAAGAAGCATAGGCTTGTCAACCCATCTCCTTCCACCCTGTATCCCCATGCTTTTTCTTACTATGTTTTGAAAACAAGAAAATGATATCTGATATATGATTAGTGTATCCCTAAGCTATCCATATCAGAAAAGCCATTTTGGATCCAGTTTTTAATTTAAGAAAATTTAATCTAAAGTATTAGGAATCATTGTAGACAAATTTGATTTTAAGATCATTGTCCCTTTTTTTGTCTTTATATTTTTATTTTCAAAATGAAAGAGTAGTTTTTTGTGCCTTTAGGCTGTCACCGAGTCCCCTTGATCAAGATTACTATTTTTTTTTTAATTTTTTTATTAGTTGCTCAAAACATTACAATGATCTTGATATATCATACATTTGATTCAAATTGGGGTGCATAATCTTATTTTTCCACATGTAAGATTACTACTTATTTCAATGGATTTTAGAATTAAAAAGTTACAATTTATTTTTATAACAAAGCCACTTTTTTTCTGAATAGACATGAAAATATTTTCCAGGCATACTTTTTCCTGACTTATGTTGTTATAGCTTTTTACTTATAATTAGAAATATTTCACAAAATCCAAAAATGTTTTCTGCCCCCCAGTCTTTTGAGTAGTAGACCTTTTAGAGTTTTGTCTAGATACTAGCTTTTCAAGTTTCATATGGGACATTGACACATCTCAGTGTTTCTGTGTAAGACAGTGTCTGGTGGTTATATATTCACCAAGCTTATTAGGAAGAAAATCTGAGTCCCACAGTGGAAGAGGATTTTGGAAATATTAATGTTTTCCTATTTTCTTTCTTTGCTGTAAATAAATAGTTGATATAATAAAGCATATGTCAATTCAGCCATACTTTTATAAGTAGAGAATTTTTTTATGTTAAATCTGTATTAGAATTCTACCAGGTAGAGACCAGCTTTAGACTCTAGCATCCCACTGATTTTTAAGTTTTGGACTTAAAAACAGAGTTGTACTTTCCACGAGTATTTTATCCATACTTAGTGTACATGCTGTAAAAGTAAAATTAGAAAAGTGAGAAAATGGATAGTTAACTTACGTAGGATTCCTCAACTGGCTATTGACTGGAATCACTGTCTTCTGTTTTCCTCCCATGATTAGGATACTTTCCTTCCTCACGTGGAATGTGGGACGATCACCCTGATTGGGGCCACCACTGAAAACCCTTCCTTCCAGGTCAATGCAGCTCTTCTGAGCCGCTGTCGAGTGATTGTTCTTGAGAAACTTCCAGTAGAGGCAATGGTGACTATTTTAATGAGAGCAATCAACTCACTGGGAATTCATGTCCTAGACTCTAGCCGTCCCACTGACCCTCTGAGCCACAGCAGCAACAGCAGCTCTGAGTAAGTTGTCAGTGTGAAGTATCCTGGGGACTCATACTTCCCAGAGAATCTCTTGGCAGGGGGCCAGAAAGGGCTGGGTCTCAGCCAGGAGAGAGGTGGGGACCAAGAAGAATGTTGATCTGCCAGTAAGGGGGGCAAAAAAAAAAAAAAAAAAAGGAAGAGAAGTGTTTATATCATACTAAGAGTATCTCTATAAACGTACCCTTTCTTTTAAGATGTATTTCCTAGCCTCACAGGGTATATCCATAATTGTTTAGGCTTTAATATTGCTTTGTTCTTGGGTGTTTGTTTTGTAGTAAGGGTTCTTTTCCTAGCTCACTGTTTTAAAAGCTTGGAAGACTATAGAAAACTTTGTTGATTAAAAAGATTTTGTCCTTCATTTAATGGAACAAATAGATATATACATCTTGCACCTACTTTCAAAACTTTGGAGATTCTGCTAGATTCAAATTTCCTTTTTTCCTTGCAATTTGTTATTATTTTTTAAAAGTAAAAATGTAACTGTAGCCATATAATTACTTAATTTTTCACACTCAAAAAGCCAAACTCATTTCATTCCATGAAAGTAAAGGAATTTTAACTGAAATCGACATATCAGAAGCTGTTTTGTTCCTGTTAGCAATCAGTTTCTGCATCATGAACACCATGTTAGTTTATTAATACACAGGGCATATGTATTATGGATAATCAGTTTTATTTCTTGGGTAAGAGATTTTATTTATTTGTAGTAGAACATATTCTTCAGAAGTATTTGTGTATGTGTTGGCTAAACTAATGCAATGAAGCGTAATGCGGTCAGAGGAGAGGCTATTACCCACCTCCTTATGCTTGGACTGCACAGCTGCTCCTGTTGCCCTGAGGCCAAGTTCTGGAGCCACTTTTCTGTGAGGATTAAAGTACAAGGCATAGTTGTAGATTCATGGTTTAGGTTTCAACAGTCTCTCCCTATGTGTCTTGTCTCTCCCATTTGCTCCTGCCTCAGATGTGGCTGTGTCATATGAAAGCCTTGAAACATTTGGCCATGGACTCCTGGGCAGAATGAAGTCACTTCATTTTGTAGTGTAGTTGTGATGGAATGGCCGATACAACTGTGGCTATAAAATATGGACCTGCTGGTATCCATCAGATGTGCTCATATTCAGGAGCCCTTTGTGGGCTGGACACTTGTAAGAGTTTCAGTGGTATTTTGCCACTTTATTGTATCTAGTACAGTTGTCTCAGCATCTGCAGGGAATTGGTTACAGGATCCCCCTGCAGATACCAAAATTCATAGATGCTCAAATCTTTTATGTAAAAATGGTTAGTATTTTCATAAAACATACACACATCCTACTATATACTTTAACTCTTCTTTAGATTACTTTAAAAAAAATGTTTTAAAATTATTTTGCAATGCTGGAGATTGAACCCAGTGTGTGAATCACTGAATTACACTCTCAACCCCTCTAGGTTATTTATAATACCTAATACAATATAAATGTTGTGCAGATAGATGTTATTCTATATTGTTTGGGGAATAATGAGAAGGGAAAAGTCTGAACATGTTTAATACAGGTACATTTTAAAAAATATCTCCAAGATTTGTTGGATTTGAGGATTCAGAACCCATGGATATGAAGGGCCAACTCTTTAGCTTTTTTTTAATTAAAATTACAGTAATAGACTCTCATCAGTGTTTGAAAGACAAATTGAAAAAGAAAGGCAAATTTTTTTTAACATTTTTTTTGTGTTTTTTTGGGTTTTTTTTTTTGCATACTGGTTATGATGTATCTACAATTTTCATTTACATAGGGTAGTTTTTATTTTATTTCATCATTTCATGGGATTGAGTTATTCAGAGAACTTCAAGTTTTCCCGTCTCTTCAGTAACTGCTGTGCCATAATTTAAGTAAATTGAGAAGGTCAGTAGAGATATAGAGCTCATCCTCATAAAAAGGATTTCTATATTTTAAAAAATTTCCAAGTGACTTCCAAGCATTTTAAAGTTTAAGAGGATCCAGTGAAAGAATTAAGATTTCTTTGAGTTGCTGAAACTGAAAGAGATATAACAATGAATCAGTTATTCTGAATCTGCTAAAATTGTATAGCAGTCAGAAAACCTTTTCCCTTGTCATTCGTGTAGAACTGATCCTAGTTATGACTTCCTTTCACTCTTAATTGCTTTCCATGTCCTCTGCCTTCTTTGGAGAGATGGGAAGATAGAAATTTGTCCTTGTTTATATTTGTAGCACTATGTTTAGCGTATATTATGCTCTTGGTAAATGGTTGATGATAAATAAACCCTACCTTCAATATGAGAAAAGTAGTTGCATTGGGAATAGTTGCCCATGTATCAAGAACTTTTTTTTATGCTTATAACTTTTTAGTATCAGCAAGCATAGTTTAATGAAAGCAAATTAAGCTTAGATCCATTAATTGATCTGTTTGTTAGCAATTCTGATAAGAAGTTGGGAGATGTCATAGACCAAAGAAAAAATACATTATAAGTGATTTTTCTGAAAGAAGTATCTGCCTTCCTGATTATCATGGACAATTAGCAGTGAATTGTGTTGTCTTTCAGTTATTATAGGTAAAATTGTACTTTCAAATCCCTATGGATTGGCATCAGCTGCGTATTCAGCTTTGTGCAGATAAATCAGATTTGGTTACACTAATCTAGCTGTAAGAAAAGACTCTTAACCCCTCCCCCTCATAATTACTTTCTCTTTCGGAGAAGCTATGAGTGTGCATTTGTATTCTTATGTCATGTTTTGGTGCCCTAGATAGCAACTAAAACATGTACAGAGAAATCCTAGGCTTTTGAAGACTTTGTGTGAGAAGAGGTGAGCAGGGTACTGATTCCAAAACTAATAAAGCTGCTACTTGACTATTCTTGATTGTACTTGAGGAATTATAAGATTGTGAGTTCTTAAGACAGTTATACACATGTTCATTCCCATTATAGTGAGATAAAAATATTCTTTTTTGTCAGGATTGCTGGGGATTGAACAAAGACCTCACACATGCTAAGTGTGCACTTTACGACTAAGATACATCTCTAGCCCATGTGTTCTTTTGAAAAAAATTTCCCTTCTATATTTATTTATTCAGTATAATTCAAAGTTTCTGTATTTGCTAGGCATGGCTGGGTGTTGAAAAGTACATTAATGTGCCTGTAGAGAACATGATAAAGGCCAGGTGAGTAAATCGGCTTATAGTGCCATGGGGGGTGGTATAGAGAAGAGATGTCTAAAATATTCGAAAGCAAACATTTTACCTCCTGGATGAGGAGATGCTGAGTTAAGTTTTGAAGGGCAAGCAGAATTTAACCAGATGAAATAACGCTCCTTATCTGTGCCACAGTTCTCTGGTTTGTTTGACTAATCAACAGTTTCCATGTATTTTGCTCTCAAAGAATTTGGTCACATGATGAAGTGAAGTGTGCTATCTAAGCTGGGTTAATTTTGGAGGCAGGAAAAAAAAAAACCTATGGTCTCTGGTATGAGGAGCTTATGATGCTGAAGATGAAAAAGTAAAGCAGCATTTAATCATTCTGCACTACTTGCCGCAGTAAGAATTGTAGGTTCCCAGATCCTAGGACACAAACATATTCAGAACTTCCCTTCTGAAGAAGTAATTTGTTTGTGGTCCAGAGAAACACATCTCTGTGGACATGAAGAGGGTGAAGTGAGAAGCCATAATTGCCCTTTTGGCTCTATAGATACGCAGGTCCAAATTGAAGTAGCATTTATCCCTTCATAGGGTGCTGGGGTTTGTCTCTTAGATGGGGCTTTTCTTTAATCACCTGGAGAGAGGAGCCCTCAAACAAGATAACTATAGAGTTTTTTACATTGTTTATTTTTTCAACAAAGGTTTAAATTGTTTTGCCTACCTCTAAAGTAATCTTTTCTGCTGCAGAATAGAAAAAAAAGATGATAGAACACTGGCATAGAAGATACTGTCCAGAGTGGATTGTGGGTATAGAATAGATTTTAATAATTTTTTGTAAAAATATTTTACTATAAGGTAAATAAGTATGCCAGTATAATTGTGTTAATCTAAAGAAAAATATTAATAAAAAGAAAAATTTGGGGGGCTGGGGCTGCAGCTCAGTGGCAGAGCGCTTGCGTAGCATGTGTGAGGCACTGGGTTCAATCCTTAGCACCACATAAAAATAAACAAATAAAATAAAAGTATTCTGTTAATCTATAACTTCAAAAAATGTTAATATAAAGAAAAATATAAGTTAAAATGGTACTTTTAAAAACATCAGCAATGAGCTAGGTACGGTGGCACATGCCTGTAATCCCAGCAATTTGGGAGGTTGAGGCAGGAGGATCATGAATTTAAAGCCAGCCTCGGGAATTTAGTGAGGCCTAAGCAACTTAATGAGACACTGTCTCAAAATTTAAAAAGTAAATAAATAAAAAGGACTGGGGATGTGATTCAGTGGTTAATTGCCCCTGGGTTCACTACCTGATACAAAAAAAAATAGCAACCTTATATTAGTTTGCTGTGGTTGCTGTACCACAAACTGACTGGCTTAGAACAACAGAACTTAACTCTCCTGGTTCTGGAAGTTAGGACCAAAATCAAGGTGTCAGCTGGGCCATAACCCTCCAGAGGCTTCCTTCCAGCATCTGGTATCTCCTAGCATCCCTTAACTTCTGGTTGCCATCTCTGCTTCCATCTTCATATGACCTCTATGTCCTTGTGTCTTCTTTTCCTCTTATACGAATATTTGTCATTGGATTTAAGATACACCCTAAATCCAGGGTGGTTTCATCTTGAGATTCTCATATCTGCAAAGACCCTATTTTCAAATAAGGTTACATCCATGGGTTCCAAGGATTAGGACTTAACATCTTTTGAGGGTTACTATTCAACCCTTTGTAGAACCCTGCCAGGTATGTGGTATATAATTTGGAAAGACATAGGATTATAGAAAAAGATGACATTATCTGTGAAATGTATGTCTGTCTTTATGAAGAAAGTAAGTTTTGTTTCAGTTTAACTCAGGTTATCATGGAAACATCAGAGTTTGGGGCTCTGCTTTGAAGATTTACAATTCTAGAGAGCATGCTATTGAATATCTAATTCAAATGATAATAACAATAGCTAACATTTATGGAGTACTCCTGATGTGGTAGACAGTACTCTTGAGCATTCTGCATGTCTTGATTAATCCTCAGTATAGCTTTGCAAATTAGGTATCAGCTTTTTTTTTATTAGAAGAGGAAACTGAGGCAGAACAAGGTTAAGAAATATGCTCACGATCATTCAGCTTGAATGACATGGAACCAATTTTAAAGGAATGTTGCCAATTATTAAGCAACCTCAGTTGCTGGAAGGATCCTAGATACCAAGGTGAAAGGGTATGAATGCTGACAGTGAACATTACCATCCTAACCTTTCTCTGTATGTTTTTTATTTAAGGGCAACTCTGTATTAATTTGTAAAGGAGTCAGTACAAAAGATCCCACCTAAAATGTAGCAGGTATGCCTTTTAACCAGATATGCATATCACACTTATTTGGGATGTATTTTGTGCCTGGGGTCTGACCCTGGAGTTTTAGGAATCAGTAAATCAATAGTATGGTATCCACATCTGTATTTGAGGAAAGTTCTCTAATCTGATGCGTGTATCCCTGGTTGAGAACCACTTTTTAGCAGTTGTTACACTGACCATATAATGTTCAGTTTCCTTAGTGAAGAAATTCAAGGAGTTTGTTTTATAATTTAGGGAGGGAGAGCTTAATAAACCCATCTTATTCTTTTGTTCTGCGGTGAAATAACAGGGACATTTTCACTTTCTTTACTCCTCCTACTTAAACATCCAACCATATAAATAGTATTCTCCAAATCCCAATATCCTTTACCAGAAGAACACTGCAGGATCCAGGCCACTGGAAAAGAAAGGGGAAGGAGGAAGAAGCTTTCCATATTCTGTTAAGATCAGAGTGTTTCTCTGTACTTAGCTCTGTGTTTCATCTCTAAATTGTATTAACCAGAATATAATCTTTTCCTCTCATTATGAAAAGGGTTTTTACTACCTTATAACAACATAATTTACTGTCTATTGCTTATTTCTTTGTAGGATGCTATGAAAGTTTGGACACTATCCCCAAAGTAGATTTCATCTCATTTAATTCTATGCTACCTTTGAAGGTTATTTCCAAATGCAGAATATTTTGTAAGTTTATACTTAAATTTAAAAATAACGTTAAATTCTCTAACCTAGAGAAACTCTCTCAAGATAATTTAATAGTTACTGTTTGTCTCAAGATAATTTCGTAGTTACTGTTTGCTGAGTGGTTTTGCAAATATCAATGATTAACTTTAGTTCTGTCATCTCTGTCCCATTCTAAGATCTCAGAGTATTTTATTGTATTTTATTACTACTTTTCAGAATTTAAAATAAAGAGGGATTTAGGACATATTAGATGGTAGTTAAATCATACCCCTTCATGCATGGTGTTTATAACAGTGAATTTCCATTTTGTAATTTCTTTACATGACTATTGTGAGTGCAGTGAGTGCCCCCTTTTATTCCTTGAACAGTTGATGAGAAATTCATTTTGGATGGGATGAACTTTGAACTGTGGATGATACCCAAGGGGAAGAAGGGAGTGGCGGGAGCTTGGGTGGCTTTTGTTGTGGCAGCAACTTCATTCCCATGAGTGCAAACCAAAACAACAGAATGATTTATACTTTGTTTAGGAGTACAAATCAAAGGACCGTATTTCCCAATTAGACAAATACATGTCCATTTTCAAAGCCTTATTCACAGCATGCTATTTATAAATCTATGGAGCAAAAATGGACTAATTCATAGAAAAGAGATATATACCAAAATACTAATTTTAGGATAGTCTAGCAGTAGTGATTTTTCTCTCTTTGACTATTTTTAAAATAGGAAAATTCAGAAGTTTGAGTAGCTTGTTTTTCAAACCATTATTAAATTTTTAGGAACGTGAAACTGTTCATAGTGTGGTCTAAATTTTGCTTTAAAAATTACATGTAAGGTTAGTGGTTGCATGGCTGGTTGAATCATAAAGAAAATTAAATAAATGTCATCATCATACTGGTTATTGTCTAAGGTGATGAAAGTAGGATTCTGTTTTGTTTTCTATATTTTATATGATTTCTTTTAAATTAAAAAATATTACTCTGAAATAATGAGAAAATTGAAGTTAGCCTATTCACTGTGCAGTAATTGAATATCCGTTATCTACCAGGCACTAGAAATACAAAGAACTAGTGGAACCTTATTCCTGTCCATGTGCTCAACATTTAGTGAGGGTGGAGAGATGACACAGGAATGAGCAACCCAACTCATGGTGTGGGATATAGAATAGTTCAGTATGTTGGAACTGATTAGGGCTCCTACTTTTACTCCTTTTCTTCCCTCAGTTGTCCTGAAAACTTTTTGTTGCTAGGAAGCTTCCCAAGGAAGTGGAAAAGAGGTGTTCGGTCAGTTTTACCCCCACACTCGCCCCAGGTACTATGCCCTTGATCTTAGAGACATCATAGGCTACTGGGCCTCTTTGATGCTGGTTCCTCCTTTCTACCTCTTTAGTATATGCTCTATTGTTTTCTTCTAAATCATCTTTCAGAAAATCCAGCTTCTGGTTGAGAAATGATCCATCGACTTTCCAAAGTGCCAATAATATGATCCTGGTAATATGTTTTGGATGATCTGTTGAGTTCACTGCTGAGAAGATGATGCTCTCAGAAGGAAGGGAGATGAGTTTCTGGGCTATACCTAAGGGTCTGAGGCCAGACAGTTTTCTTGAGTCTGAGGAGACAGTGTTCTTTTAGAAAGTTAAGTCAAGCCAGGTATCTTATATGTGATGAGGCCCACAGTGAGTAACTAAATCCTGGTCACTGTTAGTAGGTAAGGGAATGAGATGGGATAGTCTTCATGACATTAGAGACACATCTTTGAGTGAAATGCAGATTGAGGTTACTCAGGTTGTTTTCCAGGCAAAGTTGTAGGTGGGTGTAGGAGAAGAAATTCTGTATTAGAAATTTTATGTTGACCCCAGCATACAAGCTGGATTCTGCTCCAGAACCCTCCCTTAGCCCATTCCAGTTGGCACTTGTTGTATAACTTATGGTGTACAACCACTGTGTGTTGTTTTCCAAGTAGCTGATTTGGAAGGACAATCCTGATGAACTTATTAATTACTGTGTAGATATTTTCAGTTGAAGGATAATAATGACATAGGTGAACTGTATATTCAAAAAATTATATTTTTTGCAGCTCAATCAGGAAATAAGACTCTTGTAAGTAATGAAATGTGTTAGATAGTCAAGATGGAAATTAGACCTGAAAACTAATTATAGTTAGATCTTGTTTATGAAGATACAGACTTTGGAATGTGTTTGCAAATTTTGGTTCTCACATTTGGAGAGAGGTTAGGTGATTAACTCAAAGTCCCACAACTAAATTCTGGCAGTCTTTTGATAATTTTCCAGGGTAGTGACCTCTTTGCTACCCCAGGTAGATTTTGTATGAGTAATACCCACTCTGAAATGACGTACTGCTCTCTGAAATTGTTCCAGGCCAAAATTAGAGAGAACTTCTAGGTCCTGCTGTGTCCAGGGAACTGAGGATCTTGTTTATTGTTTGTAAAATGAGGGAATTGAACTGCCTGATCTGGACCCTTTTAGAGCTAATAATGTGATATGGTAAATCTTGCCTGTGTGGAAGGTTGTCTGAGCATTTTTTGTGTCATCCAGATGTGGGTTGCCATATGCTATAATGAGGTGCTAATGTTTCTGATAAAGTGTTCACTGTTCTTTAGGGCAGAACCAGAGAGTCCACTTGTCAACTATAACTTTCCAGGACATTCAATTTCTGTTTCACACAAGCTTCAATGAGTGAACTTACAGTAAGATACCCTGGTGGCTCATAAGATACAATGTAGTATTCTTCCAACTCTTGGGACCCAGTGAGATGCCCTTGTAACTTTTAAGATCTCAGTAATGCTTGTGACTTTTTAAATCTCAGCAGTGCTTAACCAGATTAACTGTGTGAGTTCAAAACAAGGGTCCAAAGCCTTGAACTAAGGTGGTTTTTTTCATTGACTTTACTAGAAGTACAAGTTCACTAAGGTATGCTGCAGAATGAGAAATGTGTTACCTGAGTGACAATAACTAATGCTGGTTGTGTTCCAGACCCTCCGTGTTTATAGAAGATAAAGCAGTAGATACTCTTGCTTATCTCAGTGATGGGGATGCCCGAACTGGCTTGAACGGACTGCAGCTGGCAGTGCTGGCCAGGTTAAGCTCTAGGAAGATGTTCTGTAAGAAGAGTGGACAAACCTATTCTCCCAGTAGAGTTCTGATCACTGAGAATGATGTGAAGGAAGGTCTTCAGCGATCCCACATTTTATATGACCGGGCAGGTAAGTAACTGAGTAACTGGAATGTAGAAAAAGTAACACTATAGAGAAATAAGTGTGCACAACTGCTCATTGCCAGGCATCAAAAGGAGTTCAGGGGTTTGAAATTACAGGCTCCTCCTTCATCTTATAAAATCGTTAGATATTTTCTCATTACTTTCTGGTAGCAACTTATGGTGTACAAGCACTTTTGAAAGCCTATGTATTTAGTTGATAGTGAGTAATTCCTGTAATTTGCAAAGGCAGTAAGTAGCAAGAGGACTTTTGCAATAAATGACTTATTTAGTACTTTACTTGAGTGTTAAAAATCCTTAATTTCTGGGGGCTGGGGTTGTGGCTCAGTGGTAGACTGCTTGCCTTGCACATGTGAGGTACTGGGTTCAATCCTCTGCACTATTCAAAATAAATAAATATATTGTGTCCATTTACAATTAAAAGAATATTTTTTAAAAATCCTTTCTTTTTGGAGTTTAACCTAAACATTGAGTTTATATGGCTCTTGATGCTTTTATTGTGTAGTGGGTTCTTAGAAAAATTCAAATCTAATTTTTCAGTGTGCACTTAACTGTTTACAGAGAACCACATTTAGAGATAACAGATAATGTCAGCTTTTATTAAATCTGTGAACGGGTAGTATTAAATATAAGCATAGCACATTTGCATCTTTTTATAAAAAAAGGTCAGAGATGAAGATAGCTTACTGCAGATTAGGCTAAACTCCTGTGATGGAACATTTGTATGACTCTGAACATAGTCATATTACAGTAACTATGGAATAGAATTTCTACACCTTTAAAAGTTCTCCCAGAAAAAGAAGCTGATAATTGAACATTCCACATCTCATGTTGGCTGTGCCACATCTCTGATATTTCCTGATGACGAGAGTCCTTATTGGCTGGGGAAGGGGTGGAGGGGCTTAAGAATGACTTTGGTTGCAGGCAGAGTCTCTTAGTAAAGGTGCTCACTACACAACCTTGGTAGAGTGACTGAAACTTTTTGGCCTTTATGTCCCTTAGCTGATGGTAATGTGGGTTTCAGTGCTAAGGTCACATTGGACATGTGAAACACACAGTCCCATCTGCATTTTGACATTTACCTGCCTCCCAGCAGGAGCCTTCTCACACAGCTATCTCTCCCTTATGTGAGTGTCATGTCAGTGCTTAACAAATCTGAAAAGTTGAATATCTAGATATAGAGCTTTGCTTTGCTTTTAGTCAAAAACAAAAATGAGAAGAACAAAATAAAAGTTTTTCAAAAGTGAAGGAATTACTACATGGTGGATTCTCCCTTGCTTCTGGGGGTTCAACAGCTGTGATCTTTCTCCCTTTTTTAAGTGTCCCAAGGGGGGCTTCATTTTGACTAGATCAGTCTTTCATATTTAATCAGACTATCAGTTAATATCCAAGTAATATGAAATTTTCCAAATAACCTTAGAAGGTACTTTATTAATATCCTCATTTTGCAGATAACAAAACTCGGCTTGCCTCATAAAGCTTGTGGTAAAACTGATCCTCAAATTAAGGTCCGACTGGTTCCCAATATCATTTCCTTTACCACTGCTCCTGCTTCCATTTCAGGCTTGCTGTGTGCAGTCACTGAGCTTGCCCTAGAGCACATTCCCTGCAAGGAATCACACTTGGAAGTGTGTAGTCCCAGGGAACCATGAACCATGGGGATTACCTTGTCGCTAGCTCTTTGCTTCCTTAGGAAGAGCTGGGGGCAGTGGAGGCCTCCTGATGCCACGTCCAACAGCCTTGAGAACTCTACAGTCTATGTCTTTCTAATATCAATGAGCCCCCTCTACCCACATGCAGCTCTATATAGAGTGTCTGCTACACAGAGGGTCCACAACAGGTGTAAATAGAATTCATGAACTTGAGAAATGTTCTCATATAGGCTGTTCCATAAATAGGGATTATAGAAGCATTGCCCTGAAAACCTGTTATCTTAGACTTTTATAACTGATAAGAAAAGAATCTATCCCATAATTTTTATTATTTTAGTGTTGCTCACTAGTATATAATACCCATAGTAGGATCCAGTAAATAGTTCAGATGGTATGCATCAAATTAAATAAGTATCCAGATGAGAATAAATTTTCTTTTCATGTCTTGACATCAAAGTATTATAAACAATTGTGTTCTGGTAGAACACAATCTTATTGTTCATATGGGCTTGTGTTAACTTTCTAAAGCAGTGTATAATAAAAGCAGAAGCATAGAATAATAATAGAATCTAAAATAGAGTGTTTCTATAGTGCATGCTTGCTATGTGCCAGGCATGTATTTAATACAAGCTATGAAGTGAGTGGTCTTGGCATCCCCATTTTTAAGATGAAAACCTTGAGACAGAGAGGATCAGGAATATACCCTTGGCTGAGTGTCTGGTAAGTTTAGGTTTCAAGCCCAAGCTGCCTGGCCTAAGAGCCCATGTTCTGGCCCACGTACCTGTGGTATTACCTCTCACATTGACCCAGTAAAACTTGGAGGAGATGAGTAACCTGCATTGGGGGAAGTGTAAACTAGACAGAATGTGAACTAGAGGTGGTTTCTTTCATCCTTCCATACCCATGTGTTTGACTAGATCTACCCTAGTCTTCCCCACCTCTAAGTTTTGGCCCACAGAGGAGCAAAGCACAGGTGTGAGAGGGAGCCAGAACCATGAGGATCACTTAGGACACTTTCCCAGCCAGTGTCTGTAGCTGACTTCACTAGGGAAACTCTGGTACAGTGGACATTCAGTTTTTCTATAGAAATCCAATTATGTTGACATGTTGATCTGCCCAAACCTCCTTGAAAACTGGATTTGCTCAGATTCTGCCATCAACCTTTTGGGACTTTCCCCTTTGGTAGGCCAGGGGAGTTTCTTGTTGCTTTCTTTCATCTCCATCTGAAGACCAAGTGTTGTCTTAGCAGACTGATCAGCTACTGGGATTTGTTCCTGGGGCCCGAAAACTGTCTGGAAGAACACAGTCTTATTGTTCATATGGGCTCATGATGAAGAGAAGCACTAGGTGCTTCTCTAGAAGAACTCAAGAACACCCCCAAACACCCCTCTTTCTCATAAGGGGAATGTTCTATCCCTGAACTTAAGAAAAAAAGGATGGACAGGAAATTATGAAATGTGTACAGATACCACTGCCTTTTATTTATTTAAAAAATCATTGAGCTATGATTTCCTGCCTTTCTATGTGTTTTTTCTAAAGCACATTTCACTGATTTTGATTTTCTTGTGAATCCAGGCCAAAAAATGGAATAAGACCAAATGGTGAGGGTGAGTCTTACCCATTCAGAGTGAGATCTATTAGTGCCAGTTCTCTGGGATCATGCCACACAGGTGTCTGTACACCAGGGCTGTGGTTTAAATGACCACAGGCTTCAGATATCAGGAAGACAGCTGGAAACAACACTGAGGAACAAATGGGCCATGACAGCTGGCCTTGACACTTGACTCTCCATCCTGATGGCTACAAGCAGCCCCATGGTCTGTTTTCCTTAAATAGACTGCAGGGGGATAAGATGGAGTCAGAATGTGAGACTGTCCCTACCTCCCCTCTTGTCTCTGGCAAATCCACTGTGGTAGAGATTACTTTTCAGAGTGAATGTCCCCACCCTGTTCACCTTTGTGTGTACACATTCAATGGGAACACCCTCTTCATGTTTTTCAAGTAGCATCCTCTTCCTCTGAACAGGACTTAGCCACCAAACAAGCGCCCCACCTCCAAGGAGGACTGCACTGGGGCATGCTACAGGTTTGCATCCTCCCACCTAGTATAGTTTGAGGATAGCCATCAACCCCACTCTCCTCAGCTTCCCTGGGACCTCTGTTAGTGCAGCCTTCCTTAAATCAGCTTGTCACAAAGCTGGCTGGGGGACCCCTCTGAGTGGGTGCCTTTCTGTGGTATACAGGAGAAGAGCACTACAACTGCATCTCCGCCTTGCACAAGGCCATGCGAGGCTCGGACCAGAATGCTTCCCTCTACTGGCTGGCACGCATGCTTGAGGGAGGAGAGGACCCACTCTATGTGGCAAGGAGGCTGGTGAGGTTTGCCAGTGAGGACATCGGTGAGTGTGTCTGAGGGTCCCAGAGCCCCAATTCATAGGAGTGGGGCAGGTGGCATGAGGGAGGGAATGTGACTTCTTTTGGCCTAAGGATGTCATGGAATTATGTGTAAAAGGCAAGAGAAGACTTTCTGCAGGAGCTTAGTTGTCTATTTCTTGGTGTGTGTGTGTGTGTGTGTGTGCTTTTGAATGTATTAAAAAGTCACCATTTTCTACTTCCTCTTCGGGAATGTTCTTTAGAATATGAGTAGTTTATTCAGAATGTTGAAATAAAAGAGATACTTTTCAATTTGCTTTTGCAGCCAGGTGTTGAGGTTTTCGTTGGACAGTTCCTGAGGTAGAAATGGAAGACTCTGGACACCATTTAAAGACAAAGAACAGCTTTTTTTTTTTTTTTTTTTTTTTTTTTGCCTTTGTAAATGTTTTGTTTTTAATGTACCCATACTTGTGAATGTCTTCATGGCCTTTGGTCCTCTCAGTATTTGTTTTAGTCTCTTGTTTTTCCTACTACTAGATATAAAATTTTTACCCACAAGGAGCCAGTTCTGGACACCACAGTTATCACTCAGTAAATATTTCTTGAATAAGTTAATGTGATCAATGATCAGTGATAAGTTCCATTTCTTTTGCTAAATGGGACTATTTTTGTCACCAAGTCTATAAGCAGTTATGGTCTCTGGTTGCGGCAACACGCGGACAAGTGGGGATGATAGTGTGTGTTGTGACTTAACTCCTTTGTCTCTCTGTGTGTGTGACAGGTCTGGCAGACCCGTCTGCATTAACACAAGCAGTTGCTGCCTACCAAGGCTGTCATTTTATAGGCATGCCTGAATGTGAGGTAAAGTAAACAGCTCCCATCTTTACAAATCCATTCCTTTCTCCTGTGTTCCAACCTTTGGTGGATTTGAATATATGTGGTACCTTCACTATTGATGTATTGGGCCCGCTAGATTGGGCTCAACCTTTGAAGTTCCGTTGTTTAGAATTCTAGGCTCTAGAGAGAGATCAGACCTTCGGTGTGGATGAAGTAATTATTTCAAACTGTCCTTAGGAATCTCAGGGTTCAGAGAAGGTGCTAAAGTCTTCCTGGGCGACAGAAAGGTTGTGAAGGAGCTAAGGAGGAAGCCCTTGTGGGTTTGCCTCCCAAACAGCAGCTTCCTGTTCATCTGTTTTATATCTTGAGGGTTTAAAAAAATTTCATTTTGCAAAATGTTCTTCAGTCTTTTTTTTTTTTTTAAAGGAGAAGCACTGGCCTGGCTTGTCTCTCATTCATAGGGATTTCTTCTCTAGTTATCCAGACTAGGCAAAAAATGGAGATAAAAAAGAATGATGGGAATCTTTTTAAAAAGTTAACTGGAGGTATCTTAAAGCACTCTGCCAAACAGAACCTTTCTGGCACCTCCTTGGTAATGTGTCCTTCTGTATCCTAGGTGCTTCTGGCCCAGTGTGTGGTCTATTTCGCGAGAGCCCCAAAGTCCATTGAGGTGTACAGCGCTTATAATAATGTCAAAGCCTGCCTGAGGAACCACCAGGGCCCTCTGCCCCCGGTGCCCCTGCACCTGAGGAACGCACCAACCAGGCTGATGAAGGATCTGGGCTACGGCAAAGGCTACAAGTACAACCCCATGTACAGTGAGCCTGTGGATCAGGAATACCTGCCCGAGGAATTGAGAGGAGTCGATTTCTTCAAGCAGAGGCGGTGCTGACTCTTAGGCAGTGACAGCAGAAGGATGGTCTTTATTGAAGGGAAAGAGTAACTGGATTGTGAAGTTGGTTGCCTGGTGGAAATTAAAACAGACCAACATTTTGTGCCAGAAATTTAAGAGTTCCATAGGTGGAGGAGATTACTTCAACTAAATGTGTAACGTTGAAATTGTGTTCATTTGCACTCTGTGCAATGGTTATGCTTATGAAAATATCTGGCAGCTTTGTGCAATGAATTAATGTTATAAGGAATTATCTATTTTGTCATAGTATTTAAGTCATAATGTCATTTCAGAATTCAGTTCAGTAGGATTTTTTTCCTTTAAAAATGTATATTCTGGGTAGTTCCAATTGTTAAAAAAATGTAATTGTGATTTAATACTGCATAGTGTTTTGGGTATTTTTTTTATATGCAAAGGTCTTATGAGCCAATAAAACTATTTCAAAGTACTCTTCAGTTCTTAAATGTTTTTCCCACCTAGGATGGTGGGTACCAATATTTGTCACCATTGCATTTCAATAGATAGATACTGTAAATCATCATAGATAAGATTGGAAAGCTTGGGAGAAGTCAATCTGTCTTTCTGAAAATAAATTTTAATTTTTTAAAGAACTGCATACTCATAGTTTTAAATGATTCATAAGATCCAGTAGTCCCTGACCCATTCCTACCCACCTCCTCCTTGCAGCCCTGTATTTCTAAATAATAATTCCTATTTTACTTTGTGTTTCTTGAAGTTAAACATGTCATTGCCCTCAGCTTCATGTTCATCGTATCTATTGGTAATTTTGTCTCAGTCACCATTTTGTGTAGATTTTAATGGGGATGGTCCCTTCAATTAGTGGGTTACTTACTTCTCTTTTCCCCCTTGGTGTGGTCTTTCTTGAGGAATGCCCCTGCACTGGAATAGCTGCCAGCCTTCACCCTGGGGCTTTTTTTTCCTTCCCCCTGTGTTCTGGGTGTGATATCTTGTTTATTGGTTTATTCTACTACTTTGGTGCAACACATCAGCCTAAAAAGCACATTGCAGAGGCTTTGCAACCTGTGGGCCTCCACCGTGCAGTCTTTTGACTGGCCAAGCTTTAGTCATCCCAAGACTATCCTTTCATTGTCACTTTGGAGGTTTCCTTTGCTCCTACCTGCGTCATGTACAGGATCCTGTACTTTTTTCTTCCTTGCTTGGGTGCACACATTCTTTAGTGACTTTATGGAGCAAGGATGCCTAGGAGGGAAGTGTTTTCAGACCTTGAGAGATGGAAAATGGTTTTTTATCACCCTCAGGCTTGTTCGACAGTTTGGCTGGGAATAAATTCTAAGTCAGAAATTACTTGTCTTCCAATGATGCTATAAGATGGCTCAAAGACATTCTCTTCATGATCTTTTGTTTGTAACTTCTGCAAGCTTATAGAATTGACTGGCTTTGACCCTGGAAATTTTGGAAGTTCACAGTGGTTTTCCTGGTAAACCCTTTCAATCTGGGAACTCCTGCCTTCAGATTCTGGGGAATTTGTTCATTCAGTAAGTATTAAGTGTCAGCTTCATGCTGAGCACTCCTGGTGTTGGAAACAATTTTTGTTGATGAAACAAAACAAAAATTCATGTTAGTCTATTAAATAACAATTAGTGCTATGCTGAAGAAAAAGTAATGAGTCAAGGAACAGAGAGAGGATGGGGAGGTGTGATCAGTTGGGGTAGCTAGAGGTAGACCACTATGGAGGTTGTATTTGAGCTTTCAGGGAAGTGAATGTGCTATTCATGTACATGGGAAAAGATCATGCCAGAAAACTGCATGTGCAAAGTTTCTGAGGGAGGAAGGTGTTTGGCAGGCTTAATATCCAGTAAAGAGGCCAGTGTAACTGGAGAGGAGGAGTAGATGGCAAGATGGAAGGAGTTCAAATCATGTGGGACCTTTTGGATCTTGCACTTTTACTCAGAATTGCCAGTGAAAGAGTGCGAAGACCAGACTTAAATTGCCTAAGGAACACTTCTGCTGCAATGTTGAAACTAGAAGGAGGGAGGGTACGGGTTGAAGATGGTGAATCAGGATTTTCAGTAGTGCTTGGGGAGGTGATAGATGAGACCAGGATGATATTAGTGGTGCTAGTGAGAGGTGATTTGAAGTGGTTGACAGATTGTATATAGGTCATATATGTGAAAGGGGAGTCGATGGCTGTCATTAAGAATGTAATATGCACCAACTTGGTTCTAAGCATTTCATGTGAACTAGTTATTTAAATCCTCAATAAGTCAACAAGCTAAGTACCATTATTTACATCCTCAAGAAGACTTGGAGGTAACTCCCCTAAGACCACCCAGCTAATAAGGTGGGGCTCAGGTTTGGACCTAGGCAGTAGGACCCAGCCCATGGGTTCACCTGTAGACACCTGGAGATTCCGGTTTTTTTTTGTCCCTCTTCTTGGTACTCCTGGTGGGGATGCCAGCCCTCTTGAACTAGTCCTTGGATATCCTGTTGCTTTCCCTTTTATTTTCCATCTTTTTATCTTTTGCTCTAGTTTCTGAGAGATTTTCTCAACTTTATTTTCACTCCTTCATTGCTACCATCCTGTTTTAAATTTCTAAGAGCTTGTTTTTGTTCTCTTTAATGTTCCTTCCCTTTCCTCTCCCCTCCCCTCTTTCTTTTTTCAGTAGCTGGTGTTTAATCTTTTTTTTTTTAATGAGTGCTTATCTTACCTCCTTGAAGATATTTGTTTTTGAAAAATTTGCTTCCTGCTGCCTCTTTTTTCCTGGTGTGTGTGTGTGTGTGTGTGTGTGTGTGTGTTTCTTTTCCTGTTTGTTTTCATTTCTCATTTTACTGTTCCTGAAATTTAGGCATGAAAAACTGAGGACCAGGGTGGAATCTCTGAGCATGTGACCAGGGTATAATGTTGACTGTGGTCATTGCTGAGCCATTTGCTGGGAGTCTTCAAAGTCAGTCTTTAGGACTTTCCTCTTGGACTGCTTAGAGTCCCATAGAAACACTTTTGTTTTACCCAGTAGATCACAGCGGCATGGCTTTCTGCACTGGGGTACCAAGCAGGAAAAGAGCAGTTGTCCTACATCCTTCAATCAATCTGTGTGCATGACCTTGACTTCTGACTATGAAATGGAGCCCAGGCCTGTGTTCATGCAGTTCATAGATCCTCCAGTGGCCAGGAGGAGGACAGGATGTCCTGGAGGTTCTGTCTCCTTTTAAACTTCCCTACTCATAGCCACCTCCTGAGCCTTTAAGACACCTTCCTTGTAGGTCAGTTTCCTCACTGATTTTCCTCTCATCGTTCCACCCTCCCACACTGTTGCTATTATCTCATTTGTTCTTCCCTTATTAAAGTGTTGATGACTTTTTCTTTTAGGATTTTTAAAGATCCCCTCACTGTAGTTTTGGTGAGACTTAGGAGCACATGAAGTCAGATGTGGGATCATTCTATCAGCTTTACTTCATTAAGAAATTTACAAACTCAATTTTTCCTTGATTTTTTTTTTTTTCCTGCACTAAGAATTGAACCCAGGGGATGCTTTACCACTGAGCTACATCCCCAGCTCCTTTATTTTTTGAAACAGAGTCTTGCTAAGTTGTCTCTGCTGGCCTTGGACATGGGATCCTTCTGCCTGAGTCTCCCAAGTCACTGATATGGGTCACCAAACCTGGCAACCAATTTTTCCTTGATTTTGCTCTTTAAACATTATTAAGTAATGGAGTCACTGCCACATAGGAAGCATGCTTTTGATACAAACTGGAGGTGACAGTAACTCAGTCCTGGCTTTTTTGCTCTGGCCTATTTCCCCGGACTGAGTTGGGCACTGGCATGGGAATAGGTGTTGAGTGTGCTGTGGGATGCTGAGCATTGGTCCTCAAGCCAATGAGCAATTAGAGCTATTTGAGATCATTTTATTAGACATTGACCCCAAATGTCATCATGTCTGAAACAAATGGTGCCTTTCCTCACACGGGATGATATTGGGGAGAAATGAAAGTGTGATTCTGGAAATGTCCTCGACAGGGTGGGCCTAGTAACCAACTTTACAGAATTTTGTTCATGAAAGCACAAAATCAAGTTTGAAAGGAAGTGGTTTTTTGTTTGTTTCAACAAACAGTTATCATCTTTTGCAGATAACAAATCTTCAAACCTGGACACTGTATTATCCATCCAAATGAGAAGCACCTTTTGATAGTAATGCTGTTTAAAACATCAATTTTTTCCTATACTTTTATATAAATGCCCTGGATATCTTATATTTTTATGAGTTAACATTTGTGCAATAACTTTAGAAGCACTCTGTAATATGTGAATAAATGGAATTCCAAACAGTTCAAGCCCTCAGGGGCATTAAATCTTAAGCAGAAATATTTTTGATAGCTGGGTTCACAACAAATACTCATGAAAGCAGTCATTTTAAAACCAATATTTTTCAGCACTTAAAGACATTCCTATTAAAACTCAGAAGAAGAAATGGACACCTGATGTCCCATTGTGTAAATGGTATCCAACAACAACTTCTTTTTTTTTTTTTTTGGTACTGGGAATTGAACCCAGGGATGCTCTACCACTGAGCTACATCTCTAGTCCTTTTTATTTTGAGACAGGGTCTTGCTAGGTTGCTTAGGATCTCATTAAATTGCTGAGCTGGCCTCAAATTCCGTACTCTGTCTCAACCTCTTTACTTGCTGGAATTACAGGTGTTGGCCACCACCAGCCAGATGGCTTAATCAAAGGGATTACTGAGAATCATTTAATCAAGGATTACCGGTTACAAAGGTATGGCAAGGGCTCCAAAACCCAATACCAGGTGGGATGAAGTTTCCCCTCCAGGCCAGAGGAGGCAGCAGGGGAGCCTCTGGAGATTAGGAGTCAGGAGCCAGCACTGTGGCCT